CCACGACCACCCAGAACGACCGAGAAAGGGAATGAAAGGCAAAATCACAGCTGAAAGGGGTCAACAGGTGGCATATTTCCACACTGCAGGCAAGAGTCAGTTTAGCAGAGTGGTCAGAGGCTCGGCTCAGATTCGCGAGGCTATGGATTCACGAAAGGGTCATGCAACGGCCGGGCGGCATCACAAAGCAATTTTTTTTGAGTTTGCCAAGTAAACCTCCCACTATCATGAATCAAGATGCACGAGTGTGATTGAATCGAGTACAAAATAGTATCAATGAGTATGGTTGGCTGGAGTCTACCGAACTCCCCACTGCCAAAAGTTGCTGGAAAAGATGCAGGTTTGACAGGTGTTGCGCTTGGAGCGTTACATGGAGGGTTTGAGTTTTGGGGGTGCTGGAAATGCTTAATGATGTAAATCATACGTTGGAAGCATTCGGAAGCATCAAGCACGCAGTGTTCAAGCTTTTCCTTCACAGATAAGACCATCAGGTTGCACTGAAGACCGCGTAATTGGTTGCAATCGGCAAGGGAAATGGAAGCAAGGTCATGAACGTAACGAAAACGGGAAAGCATGCGATTAACAACCAAGTGTGTTTTGATTTTGCTCCGCCTGCCTCTCGATCTATTATAATCGTTGTGTTCATATGTGTTTTGTGTTTGGTGTCTCCTCTCTCATCCACTTCACCACGTTTCCTGGCTTCTAGCCTGACTCAAAAGCCTTGGCATTTGCTATCACAAGTTCCTGTGTGAATGTGTGAAACTGATTCTTTATCAAACCCGGGCAGAAAGAGCAATGGTATAGTTATTTATATATATATATATATATGTAATGTAATTGTGAATATGTTATATTCCGACTGTCTAGTGCAAAGCATTGTGGTAACAGGGGGGTTGTATTTTGTAGAACGAAAGGGTGGAAACGTTGTTGGATTACAATGTTGTGGCATTGAAAAGGAAATGAACCAGCAAAGGGAATTGCAAAAGAAGGAAAGGGGACTCAGAACCACAATGGATTGTGGGTGGTTCAGACCCCTTCGGGCCCAACAGCCCCTGAAAAATGCATACTTGAAAGTGTGGTTTTGTCAGTCAAATGTGGTGTTTTCTCCTTTGCAGTATTTGTCTTGGCAGGATTTGAATCATGATATGTAATATGTTGTCATCGCAATTGTGAACTGTAAGCTTTCTTTTGTGCTAATTTGGGAGGGTTGCAGCGATCGGTGTTGCATTAATTACTCAGTTCAAGCAAATATGCATGTATGTATGTATATATATCCCAGAGGATCCCAAGTACACTCTGAGAAGGTGATCGGGGCCACAAACAGTTATGAGAAGGAGTTGGAACCCGGGTCCATTCTGAGCAAAAGTTGGGAACATGGTGTTTTCAAGACTAAAGTCAACAATTCATTCGTTGGGTGAAAGGTGGGGAAGTGGGACGAAAACCGCACGAATCCGACGGTCGCCCCACACGATCCCATTCCAAACCCAGCTCACTGCAGCGTTTGGCCCCATGCCGGGCCAGTTTTCACCTCTTGCGCTGGGAGCCTCAGTGGAATCCCTCCGCTTCGAGCTTGTTGGTAAGCCTCAATGGCAGGAGGTGGAAGGGAGAGGTGGTCAGGCAGGATCAAAAGGCCATTGGGGGTCAGCACGTGAAAAAAAAAATCTTTCTAATTCATCATCAAGGAACCCGGTGAACCACCTTTGCAATGCAATTTGCTCCAGGCCAGTTTGGTGTGATACCGCACACACTTGCTTGATGCGACCAATGAAGTCTTCAGTAGCAAAGGAATGGAACTTCCGTATGTTGATCCCTTAGCACAATAAACCCGAACACTTCCTTCAGTTCCAGGCCAACTGCAAAGGGGACCATCACACCTATCGTTTTGCACCCCTCATCCAAAACTACAAGACATGCCGAGGAACGATCCAAAGTTTGAAGACGAACCATCTCTTGCAGGGCCTTAGATCATGACCACATGGCCAGGGTGAGTGCACAGGATTTGGTGGGCCAGAAACATCCCTTCAAGGTCCGTATTGAAGTGACAAGAGTGGGGCTGGTTCTGAAAAGACCAAGTGGAGGGCCAGCAAAAAGGTGCTAACAGAAAGTTAAGTTGTACCTGATCAAGTTGCATGGAACTTTGGGCGTGCGGGCCACATCACGCGATTTGCACGCACAGCAGCAGCAGCCAAATGGAGATATGCAAATATGCTATCATCCTGGTTCAAGGGCCAAGTGGACTTGCAAGTGGAATTCTCCACAACCTGATATCCCTCCCTAGAAATCCAAGTACCTTCTGAGAAGGTGTTTGGGGTGGGTTTGGAGGGCCCAAATACAGTCTAGAGGAGGTACTTGGATCCCTAGGGCCTAATTGCTTTGGGGTTGAAGGTTTTTGGACCAATAAGAAAACCAAACCATTGCAAAGCAAAGTGTCGCTTTGCTTTTGCAGGAGCAATGCAGCTTCAGGTGTCAAGTACCTGCCATTGTCCTCCAAGGTCTGGTGGAAAGCGGCCATGGAGCACCTCGGATTGGGAGCTGTTTTTTTCGTTTGTGTGGGGACTGAGTCCAAGAGTCCAAGAAAGCAGGAACTGAGATCCGAAAGAAGTGATGGAAATCATCACAAATGGAATGAAGTGGATCGACTCGCTCGATTCGATTCACATGCACTTGGCATGCACATGCCATTGAATGTGTGAAGATGAAGATGAGCAGAGATGTCGATGTGAGGATGTGAAGATGTGCAGAGATGTAGATGTGCAGTTGTGAATGTAGATGTGAAGATGAGCAGAGATATAGGTGAGAATGTGGATGTGCAGAGGTGAAGATGTGAAGATGTAGATGAGACGTAGTTCTGCAGATGTTTTTTAACGAAGAACACTTCGCAGGCACTCTTGGGAAAAAAGGATGAGGGCCATCAATGCACTCTGTCGCCCAAAGCTTGCCGTTGAATCCTCGCTCATTCGCAAGGTCATTTATCAAAAGGATGTACCAAGCAAGCCCGCCATTTCGTGGAGGAGTTTGCCAGCCGTGTTGGATTTCGGGCATGTCTCAACAAGTCTGGTCCAAGGACCATGAGATGACAGCGGCGACATCAGGACTGCACTGCTCGTCTACACAAGCCCTGCTCAACTGTGGAGCAGCAACGCAGTGGACGGAACTTTGTGAACATGTGCGACATCTGGGGCGATTGGCGGTGCAAGGCATAGGGCTCCGCTTGACGCAAGTCATGGCCCAGTGGACCAAAGTGCACAACCAGTGACCGGAAGGTCAAGGTGCACGTTGATCACATGGATATCGCATGAATCGCAGACATGCTGTACATCGATGCAGGCTTTGATCGGTCCTGCATATCAGACCATGCATCACAAGGGCTCCACCGGTTGATGGCAGCCACTACTGTTCAAGATGCATTGATCGCATGTGTGCGATGGGCGTTGAACACTTCAAGGCAGCCAGTGGTTGAAAGGTCAAAGTATATGTCGGCCTACATGGACGGGCCTTCTGGGACTTGCATCAGGCACTCTACCCAAGCCAACACATGAAGTCAACAAGGAGAAGACCATTCAAGATATTTTGTCCTGCGCAGGCACTTAAAGTGTCTATGAACCATTGACTTTTGAGACAGCCAAGGCTCAAGTGCTGAAGGTCCGCTCATGGACAAGATGAACAGGAACGGTGAGATCTTTTTCATCCTCACTCACTCCGAAGAAGAAGACGAGGGAGACGCTGCGAAGAGGAAAGGCGGCCCTATACTGGCGCTCAAAGGTCCACTCGTGTACATGATGTGCTCACTCATTCGAAGTCAAAAACACAAGGAAGTCCTATATATGCTGGTGCTTTTAGACGCATACGCGATTCAGGCGCAACAACTCCAGTAAGCACATGGCGCTTCAGTAAGTGTAAGGTAAAACATTGAGCTAGATGCGGTCGCTTCGGTACTGTAAACGCTTCGCTCATGTAACCAAGGCACACACAAACTTTCACAAGCCGCAAACCAGGATCAGGTCTGTCTTGGCAGAAGCTTTCCAGGAAGGAGGCCATCCACGCCATGCACACTCGAGCCTCACAAATTCAATAGACTACATGGACCACTCACACAAAGATGGTACAATTCCCACTGGTGAAAGTCTGCCCATGGCCAACCAATGAACCACACAGCACAACTGAATTATACAAGGCAAGGAACGTTCCAGGCCTTCGATTGCAGCTCT